GGGGGGGAAGAGGAGGAGGAGGAGGGGGGGGAGGGGGAGGAGCAGGTGGTGAAAGGGGAAGAGAAGGAAGAAGAGGAGAGGGGGAGGGGGAGGAGGAAGAAGAGGGGGAGGGGGAGGAGCAGGTGGTGAAAGGGGAAGAGGAGGAGGAAGAGGAGTGGGAGGAGGAGGAAGAGGAGGAGGAAGAAGAGGGGGAGGGGGAGGAGCAGGTGGTGAAAGGGGAAGAGAAGGAAGAAGAGGAGAGGAGGAAGAGGAGGAGGAAGAAGTGGGGGAGGAGGAGGTGGTGAAAGGGGAAGAGGAGGAGGAAGAGGAGTGGGAGGAGGAGGAAGAGGAGGAGGAAGAAGAGGGGGAGGGGGAGGAGCAGGTGGTGAAAGGGGAAGAGAAGGAAGAAGAGGAGAGGAGGAAGAGGAGGAGGAAGAAGAGGCGGAGGAGGAGGAAGAGGAGGAGGAAGAAGATGGGGAGGGGGAGGAGCAGGTGGTGAAAGGGGAAGAGGAGGAGGAGGAAGAGGAGGAGGAAGAGGAGGAGGGAGGAGGAAGAAGAGGGGGAGGTGGTAAAAAGGGAAGAGGAGGAGGAAGAAGAGGAGGAAGAGGAGGGAGGAGGAAGAAGAGGAGGAGGAGGAGGAGGAGAACTGTGGGGTCCTTGATGCTCTTGGAGTAACAGGGTTGGTTGTTTCCTTGCAGACATTTCATGACCCATCTAGGTAATATCATCAGTGCTGGAAGGGAGGGGTGTTTGCAGGGAGGAGGACTGTGGGGTCCTTGGTGGTCTGTGAGCTTGGCTGTTTTGTAGCAGACATTTCATGACCAAACTAGGGAACATCATCAGTGCTAGAAAGGAGTGGGGTTTGCAGAGAGGAGGAGGAGGCCTGCAGGGTCCTTGTTGCTCTCTCTGAGCTTGGTTCCTCTGTTGTAGACATTTCAAGACCCAACTAGGTAACATTATCAGTGCTAGAAGGGAGGGAGGTTTTGTGAAAAGAAGAGGAGGAGGAGGGAGGAAGAGGAAATCAATCCACACCCTTAATAGTCCCTAGAGAGGCTCCTGGCCTTCTTCATTCCACTCGAAGGACCTGGAGTGGCCAATTTTGGCTCAGCGGGAGCCGTAAATTGAGGACTCCCCATACCAATCTTCTTCCTTAACTGCAAATCAACATCCCATCGTCCAGTGGGCAGAAGATGGGCAGGGATGCCATTAGTTAGCAAGCTTCCAGTCCTCCTGGGGGTTTTTTGTGATGCTTCCAGAGCTCTCGGTGAACAATCCTTCGTCAAAGTCACAGAGAAAATGGGAAACGTTGAGCTGTTGCCAACATCCCTTCAAAGGCAAAAGTGCCCACAAGGCCAAGAGGGACCCAGAAATTATGCCTTGTTTGTGTGTCTCTGTGTGTGTTAGGCACAGTTTCGAGGGCGCCCTGGCCGTCTACAACCTGGTGGAAGAGGACATCCACACGCTGGTGACCAAATCCAACGGTTGCTTGGAGCACTTGGAGTTCCTCAAGAAGATCCGGGAACTCGAGGAGGGATTTCACCAGGTAAGTAAGGTGATGAGGAAAATATTAGCAGCTGAACTGGCTCCAGTGTGAGTTACGCCTCATTGTGTGTTCATCCTCCCATCCTGTTCATCCTTTCTTTGCTGATGTGGCGGCAGCCAAAGAAGTCAACGTAATCCTACGCTGCATTGACAGAGGGATACAATCAAGATCAAGGGAGGTNAGAAGACTCCTGCATTGAGTCCCTTGGACTGCAAGGCCATCCAACCAGTCAGTCCTAGAGGAGATCAACCCTGATTGCTCTTTAGGAGGCCAGATCCCGAAGAGAAAACTCAAAGACTTTGGACAACTGATGAGAAGGAAGGACTCCCTGGAGAAGAGCCTCATGCTGGGAACGATGGAGGGCAAAAGAAGAAGAAGAAGGGGACGGCAGAGAAGGAGGACGGCTGGATAGAGTCACCGAAGCAGCCGGCCTGAGCTTCAAGGGACTCCAGAGGATGGGAGAGGACAGGAAGGCCTGGAGGAACGTGGTCCATGGGGTCACGATGAGTCGGACACGACTTCTCAACTAACAACAACGTACTTAACTCAAGGCAGTAAATATCCCCAATACTCAATTTTCTCTTTTCCCCACAATAACAACCTTGCGAGGTGCGTCAAGCTAGGTCAGTGTTTCTCAACCATGGCCAACTTGAAGTCCGGTGGACTTCATCTCCCAGAATTCCCCAGCCAGCTGTGCTGGCTGGGGGATTCTGGGAGTTGAAGTCCACCGGACTTCAAGTTGGCCAAGGTTGAGAAACACGGAGCTAGGTAAATGTTTCTCCAAGTGGAGGTTGAACGTCCACTCTGTGTCTTGCCCGCAGGTGGAGGCCGTGACTTCTCCGAAAGCTTTGACCCGCCACGTGGACAATAGCCAGCTGACCCCAGCCTTCGACGGTCACTTCCCCTACAACCACGGGGAATGGGTCCAGTTCCTCCAGGTACCCTCCCACCCTTTATCCATTTGGGGAGGGGTCTCGGGGGGGAGGGGCAGAACCCGCTCCTTGGGTCTTGGGGGGCAAGGGGTGTCCACGCGCGGTGGTCGAAAAATTCAAGGTGGCAGCTGGCGTGGCGTGATGGAGGTTCTGCCTTGGTTTTCATTTTTCAAGATCAAGGTTGAAATCTGGTGGAGTTTTCATCTCTCCCTCCTGGCCGCCATCTTGATTTTTTTGGACCTTGAATAGCAACAGCAATAGCAGTTAGACTTATATACCGCTTCCTAGGGCTTTCAGCCCTCTCTAAGCGGTTTACAGAGTCAGCATATTGCCCCCACAGTCTGGGTCCTCATTTCACCCAGATAGATAGATAGATAGATAGATAGATAGATAGATAGATAGATAGATAGATAGATAGATAGATAGATAGATAGATAGATAGAGCAATAGCAGTTCGACTTATGTACCGCTTCATAGGGCTTNACACACACACACACACACACACACACACACACAAAAGATTCTTGGAAGGTTAGGGAGCGGGTTGCTATCAGACTCTTTTTTTCTTTTTTCCTCCTCCTTTTTTTGTGGGGGGGGAATGGATCAATATCCAGATTAGGAAACCTTAAAATTCTGAAATATCCTGGCTGGAATTCAAAATATTGTGGAAGGTCGTAAAACGGGGCAAAAGGCAATGGTCCACTTAGCAACAGAAATTCTGGGCTCAACTGTGGTCGTAAGTCGAGGACTCCTTGTATTCAGAACTCTGAAAATCTGGGCTGACGTATCCAAAGCAAAAGTAAAGAACGAGAATGCTTTATTTTAGAAAAGACGACTTTATTTCGGCTTTTAGACTGTGATTTCTGTAAAAATACAAAACCCTTCAAAAATACCTCACTTTTATTCCGAACTATGTCTTTAAAAAAATATACGTACTTGGCAGTCCGCTCCTCGTTAAGAGGCTTCAATGCTAATTAATTCTGAAGATACAAAAATCACGTTACGGATCCCGGGAAATTCAGAGTTTAGTCTTCGTAGACTCCAAGCGGAGGGGATGGAGATTAAATACAATCTGGAAAAAGGTAAACAAAAACCTGCCGAATGTTAATCCCTGACGACGGTGAATTGAATCGTCTTCTGTTTGCCACTCGCTGAGCTCCAGAACGTTTTTGGGGATTTACTGATTGTGCCGGGCGTAAAATACTTGTGCGCTAAAGGCGGCACCAGTCCAGACATTCGTTCTGAGGTAAGGAGGCTGCGAGAAGGGAAGGAGGGAAGTCAAATGTACTCAGAGAATTCCTTGATTCAAGCAGAGAAGGGAAAAAATATGGGATTTCCCAAGAAGTTGCTCTTCTCCTCCCAGCTAAGACTATTTTGGGGGGGAAATAAACACAGCACCGAGATGATTCTGCAGAACTGATCAGCTGCAGCTCTGCTTCCAATGAGGCTTTGCACGAAGCCCAGTTGGGCCTCCCTGAGACCCCCGAAGCCCATCGTCCTCCGTGGGTTATAATTCATCCCGCAGCTGAGGGGGGTAGTCCATGCCAAAAAAGGAAGTCGGCCTCCGGTGCACGTCCCTCTCCCGTTTCACGAAGGCGGTGAAGGAAGAAACGCAGTTGCCGATAAAATGGTCGGCTTGGCCCAGGATGTACAGGTCTATCTGGGCCACTTCGGGCTGCAAATGGACCACTTTTACCTGCGATGAGAAAACAGCCACAATGCGTTGTCTTTAAATTTTATTTATACCCCTCTTTTCTTACTTTTTATAAATGACTCGGTGCTCAATATATCTCAGACAATTTCCTCCTCTCATTTGCAACCACCAGAACCACCCTGTGAGGTAGGCTGGGCTGAGTGACTGGCCCCAAAGTCACCCAGCTGCCTTTCGTGCCTCAGGCGGGACTAGAACTCCCCGTCTCCTGGTGACTGGCCCAAAGTCACCCAGCTGGTTTTCATGCCTCAGGCGGGACTAGAACTCCCCGTCTCCTGGTAACTGGCCCAAAGTCACCCAGGCGGTTTTCATGCCTAAGGCAGGACTAGAACTCCCCGTCTCCTGGTGATTGGCCCAAAGTCACCCAGGCGGTTTTCATGCCTAAGGCAGGACTAGAACTCCCCGTCTCCTGGTGATTGGCCCAAAGTCACCCAGGCGGTTTTCATGCCTAAGGCAGGACTAGAACTCTCCATCTCCTGGTGACTGGGCCAAAGTCACCCAGGCGGCTTTCATGCATAATGCGGAACTAGAACTCACCATCACCTGATGATTGGCCCAAAGTCACCCAGCCGACTTTCATGCCTAAGGCAGGACTAGAACTCCCCATCTCCTGGTGATAGGCCCAAAGTCACCCAGCCAGCTTTCATGCATAATGCGGAACTAGAACTCCCCATCACCTGATGATTGGCCCAAAGTCACCCAGCCGACTTTCATGCCTAAGGCAGGACTAGAACTCGCCATCTCCTGGTGATTGATGCAAAGTCACCCAGCGGGTTTTTGTGCCAAAAGTGAAACTAGAACTCGCTGTCTCCTAGTTTCTAGCCCGGACTATTAGCCATTTTTCTTGGAGATAAAGGACCACAAATAAACCACAAGTGTGAGGTATGGAGGTCCCCATCTGCTGATCCCTGGTGCTGTGTATACGATAATATTCGTTTCCTCCCCATTATAACTTCCTATAATGGCCAAACTATTTTTAATTTGAGTAACTATTTGGCTTCCCAATACCAAATGTGAAAGCTTTTTTTTCTTTTCCTTATTGGAGTTTTATTTAGTCTCTTTTACAAAGAATTATTTTGCCCCCAAAGTTTATGCTCTTAATAATTCATCCAAGATGAATGGGGAAAAGAAACTGTCACTTGTGCTAGATGGTGTGTGGATGGATTTGCCACTGGTTTTTACTTTTTAATTCTTTTCTCATTATTGGGTTGTTTTTCATGTTGTTATGTATACTGCCAGAAGTTCGGCTGCATCTAAATTACATTAAAATTAACTTTTGGGGCACGATCCGGACTCCAAATGCTGAGTTTTGTTTTTAGCTGACCTGGTACACCTCAACTTACAATGGTTTGGTTAGTGACCAAAGTTACAAAGGTGCTAAAAAAAAAGTGATTTATGACCATCGTTCACACTTATGACCGTTGCAGCGTCCCCGGGGTCACGTGATTTACATTCGGATGCTTAACAACTGACTCATATTTATGACAGTGGCGGTCTCCTGTGACCTCCTTTTGCGACCTTATGACGAGCCAAATCAATGGGGAGGCCGGAGTCACTGAACAAGTGCAGTGATCCACTTAACAATGGTGGCAAGAAAGGTCATAAAATGGGGCAAGACTCAGTTAACAAATGTCTGTCTTAGCCACATCAATTCTGGGCTCAATTGTGGTCATAAATCGAGGACTACCTGTATACCACCGTCAACACTGGTGTCAGGTTTCCTAAAAATGCCCTAATTGATTCATGAGTATCGAGCCAAGTTTCAAAAGAAAACCAGTCATTTATTAGGAGCACCATTTCGGCAATACCGTATTGCAGTCAGACCTGAGCCTCATTTGAGTTATAGCTGAACTTTGGCCCTGTTCCTTCCCTCCCCTCAGTCTGTGTCACAAATCACATTTCCCAATGAGGTGCACCCCTCCCAAGCCTGCTGCGATATAATCTGAGATCCGACTCTAGCTGAAGGCATGCGTGGAGTTCGCTCCACCACCCCCCACCCCCCATGGCAGCTTCAGGGCTGCCCCAATAGAGCTGAGCTGTGGGAACAGGAGGGGGGGGGAAGAGGAAGCTGGGAGTTTTAGCCGAAATAAAATTCTTTCCTCTGGGAACCAAGGACTTTCCCAGCAGGTGAGAGAAGGTGGGACCTAAGACCAGCTGACCCTTGGACTGTGATCTGATTGGACCATATGATGGATTGCATCGGTAGGGGAAAG